TTTCTTTATGATGCCATCAATTCCTGAAATAGCTACTTTGTGATGGCAAGGCTTCACATTTAAATATTTTGCAGTTTCTTTATTAATTAATGACACTTGTGGACCTGTGTCAAGAAGAAAATCTACACAAATCTTCCTTGGGCCAATTTGGTTACTAATACTAGGGTCCTGTTGTTTGTTCGAGAGCCACTCTAAAGCTAAAACCTGCCGGGGAGGGAGTCTCACTGTCTTTCCTGGGGATGCACCTTTTTTGCTGGGCAGTCTTTTAAATCAGTCAACTCCTGCTGCAGGGCTGAAGGTAGAGCTCTGTCAGGTGTGGACCTGTGTTCAGTCTGATGGCTAGAATTATTCCGTTCTGATTTTTGTTCTAATACTTGGACCAGAGCTCAGAGGCCAGCTGTGGTCATGCCATTTAAAAGATAGCACGGTGCTCCTAAGGTTAGAGCTTGTTGCCATAAAGCATTCCGATCTGGATCAGATTACCTCTTAAAGCCTTACCTATGTGTATTAGCCTGAATTTGGCAGACTCATCCGGGGACCCTTGGGAGGTTTCCCTGAGGTCAGTCCAATCCATCCCATGCGGCGCCCGTAGCTCACCAATTCCTGAACAAATTCACTCCAAGCAGGTATGTGAAGTTGCTTTCTAGGGGGCTGGGCTGCTGCAGCCACAGCATTCATAGCCTGATGTGCCTGAATAGGATCTTGGGCATTTGATACATATATTTTCAAACTGTCTGGAAGGCCACGAATAAGAGGGGTCAATCTAGCCAGATCAATAGGAGCCAGCATTGGGGATCAGCGTAATACATTCCTCTCATACATTGCTTGTATGCATGCTGCCTTCTGCACAGAGCCTGCCAGATCTGAAAATCCTGAAGTTGCAATACTGAGGGGATCTCCCCTCTCCTGCAGGTCTGTGCTGCCAGCTCAATAAGCAGCTTGAGTAGTTATTGAATAATTATGATTGCCTGGAGTGGTAGTTAGGAAAACTCCAGGTACCCAGTAGCCTTCTGCCTCTTCCTCACTCAACAGGACCCGATCTCCACCCGTGATGGAAACTTGCCACACATACTGTTTCTGTCTCATCTGGGCATCTAGAATATTTTTCTTGTAATGTAGATATTTCCGCAGGGGACCAAGGTATGGTACGGGTGGCAGTCTGTGACTCCCCGTCTCCATCATTAATTAACTCAGTCTCAGTTACTGGCTAAATATTTATAGACTCTGAAATAAAGTCAGTGTCTTCTCCTAAATCACTGTCATCACACCAATTGTCCCAAGTCTCAGTATCATCACAGAGGGCTATTTCGTGAATGTGTTGGACTGAACTGAAACTGGAATATGTCTGATCAAGCAATTTATCAAACCTTTCCTGCAGCCGTTGCTCTCGCTTCCCAGCCTCAGCCAATAGCTTATCCAGCAGTTCTGTTTTACTTAAAAGTTCATCTATTCGTTTTTTCCAATTTTCCCCATGTCTCTTTCTCAAAAGCCAGTGATGCTTTAAGCACCTTGTTTTCTGATTCCATAGTCTCATATTCTACATTTGCAATCTGTCTGGGGTGTGTGTGTGACTTTTTGATTTGCTGTTGCATGCATGACAAACAAGTCCCCAAGATGGCACAAATAATTCCTTTTACCTTTTCCTAGTTTTATTTTTCGTTGGTGCTTACACCGCAGTATTCACTCTACTACTTTATCCTCATCCTTCCAAAATTTCTGGTCCCATTCCACCCCTGCCAGGGAGGGAGTACACTTATGATCCTGCAGCAGTTTATCTATGGCAATCCTGTCTGTGATCCAATTTAATGTTGCATTTAGGGTGAGAATAAATTTGTTAAGAGATAAATCTCCTTGCGTTCTAGCTGGTCCTCTGAGATTAGAGGGGCTAGGGGCGTCTGGACTTATCCCTTAACAGGTATGCCAATTGGAGCTGTAACTATAGGTCTGACCTGGACACACAAACAGCCCACATGCTGTAGGTCCAGCTGCGTTCAAAAGAAGCCAACAGACTCATGAATAGTGCAGATTTGTGGCCATCACTATAGGTCTGACCCAGCTCAAACAGCCCATACACTGTAAGTCTGGTTGCATTCAAGAGAACCAGTCAGATTCATGAAAAGTACAGTTTATTTTCATGCAACATCTACAGATTCTTTAAGATTGCCAACGATAAATGCACAAACTGCAGGTTGGCTCTATAGCACTACACAAAAGAAAAATGATTGCAATCACACACACTAAGTTCCTGGGTATACACTCTGTGTAGCTGAGGAAATCTTACCAAAAGGCATCCCTTCGGGGATGAGGTGGGGAGGCGAGAGCACAAACCTGTCGATCTGTCCCTCTGATTTGGTGTTGGATTATCATCCCTCCAAATTAGGTAGAAACTTGAGGTAGTATTTATCTTAGTTTCTATGTGTGAGCGGGTTGGACTGTAGTAAAGCCATTATCTTCTGAGTAACGACACAGTACATTATTTGGTGCTGGGGTACCCATGGTTTTTGTGGGAGAAAAGGGAGGATGAGAAACAAGGGCTGCACGATGTGAGGGGTGTAGCTGGGCTTGGTGAGAAAAAAAGGGACAGTGGGGAGCAAGGCCAACAGGCTACTGCAAAGAGCAGGAGATAAATCTGTCCTTGAAATGAAAGAATGGGACTGTGCAGCCTATGTCCCGCTTCACATTCCTCCTTGGAGCCACGACAAACACAAACCACTGGACTGCCATCCCATCCTGTGCTTGCTCTGGGCACCCTGTGTCAAGGAAATGTGTGTTTTGCATATTTCTCACTGGTTTGCTTTTCTCACGTTTCCAACACCTAACAGCTCCATTTATACATCTCTGTTTCTTTGAGAGAAAACAATGTGTAATTATTACTAAGCATATACAAAAATTATGTGCTTTATAAACTATGTGAAAAATATATGTTTGATGGACAAATTCTGGTGAATCAAAGGTCTTCCCCATCCCCACAACAGAAAGGAAACTTGTCAAGTACTTATTTTATTCTAAACTTTGAAATATTTTCAGTTTTGAAATTAAAAAAAAACCCAACAAAACAAACCCCCTGAAAATCCATCCCATTAAACGTATCTGAATTTTGATGTGAAATACTTGGAAAATATTTCTGCTGATTTCTTCCATAGCTTCATTGTATCATACAGCCAGTGATTAATTAAGGAATGTGCAGTTATTTGGCAGCCACAAACTTGTGGTGTCACAGCCTGGTTTACACACTGGCCTTCATGTGCAGTCATTGTCATATATCACAAGAATTCTCTTTTAAGTTTCAAATTCGATGTTGGCTTAAATGACCACAGACATTTTGAAGTAGCTGCAATGTTGTTGTTTTCATCAGCAACTAGTTTGGCCTTATGACCACTGAAAAAATCCTCAGGATCATGAGCTTTATTTCAAGGTCACAAATGGAGCAAAACTGCACGTCCCAGTTGAACATCTTTCTTTCACCTGCTCTGATTCTGTCCCCCGTTCTTCTTAAATAATCACTGTAATGGAAGCAGAGCTGCTCTGGAGTAGTAAATTATAAATGGTGTGCTGCAGCGTGCTTATTGGGATGTGATTGTATACATAATTTAATATAGTTCTTACAGATGACTATGGAACAAAGAACCAGCAGTGGCTCAAAATAAGCCATTTCCCAGTAAACTTTTGAGGGCAGTGGAAAGATAATGCCAAATGCTCTCTCTTTGAAGGCTAAGGTAGGATCGCAGAGCAATAAAACCTCTGGCTGTGTGAAAAGAGCTGCTCTTTCTAGATGAAAATGGGGGTAAGTGAAAGACCCAGAGAAGTGGGTTCCTGCTGCAGCATCTGAAGAGAGTAGCCTGCGGGGCATCTGCAGGTAAGGTTCCCTAGGTAACACCCAGAAAGCCTGTTTGTTCCTGAGTTCTGAATCTCCAAACGATGTTATTCCTACTGATAAAAAAGTGGGGTGGTGAGGAGGAGGCTGGCTGCTCACCACTCACCTGAGCTGCAGGCTCTTGCTGGAAACATGGAGGTTGCAAAGCTGCTGGGAAAACATATTTGTTACCCAGATTTTTATAGCCTGAGATCCAATCTGAGAGCAGATAAAATAGATTAAGAGCAAAAGGATGAAGTTTGGGTGATGTGCTCTGCGACTGGAAAAGAGGAAAAAAAGAGGAGAAACCTGTAAATGTGATAGAGGCGGTCCTGAAAGTCAAACCTGGGGCAGGTTACGTGGTTCTGTGGGAAAGTATGGGCCTCTGCCTATTTCTGCTAGCCAGGAACAGGATTTCAGCTGCAGAGGGGCTGTGCCGCCCTGCGGGGTCTCCTGAACTGAAGTTGCCCACATGTCTGCTCTCAACTCATCTTCGCTTTTGTTATTCTCAACATGCTCATAGCAATGCTTTGGTTAAAATAAAACAGTGATTTAATTCTTGGTTTAACTTCTAACAGTCCAGCAAAGTTTTCAGTATTACAAGGACATTACAAGTCCTATTAAGCAAAGCAAAATAAGCTTTAGCCTGAACATTAGTCTAGCCACAGTGAGTTACCATATAAAGGCATTGTTCTTAAATGTACCCAGCTCTTCAACTTGATTCATGTTTCAGCATAGTATCACACCATAGATTCAACAATCATAAATCATTTTAAATGGACAGCTATGTACAAAACTATGATACAGTGTTATTACAAAAACTTGAGAAATAAAGCTCTGAATTTTGAAAACACAATACTGCACATTCCCAGTTTTAAAGCAAAAGTAACATGAATCTACGCGTTCTGCAGCTTGAACACAAAGACTTCTGAGTGCAAGCAGCTGACAACGGCATTCAAACCCAGAGATTTACTAAAGGATAAGCTGAAAATGTGTCCAACTGGAAAACCTCTTTTTGTTGCTTTAATAAGAGAATTCTCCAAATGCTGATGGATGCATCTGTGTGTGCAAGAAGACTACTGCAAGACTACTGACGTGCTTCAACTTAATTGCTCGTAAGCGTCATTTAGGAACCAGATGCTGTTTATATGGCCATATGCTTACTAAAATACATACTTTTTTTTTTCTTTTTTTTCCCTGTACCCAATTTCCCTTGCTTTAAATGACTGAGAGTAAAAATAAGTTTGTCTGATCCAGGTCTTGGACCTGGTCCAATATAAATTGTCAGTGGGCGATGAGAAGAGGGAGTTAACACGCTTCCACCTGTGATGGTACAGCCACTGCTTAATTTATACCCTTAATTTAGTTGAGGCACTACTATTTTAAAAATTTCTCTGAGGGCTAAACACTGCAGTCCTTTCTTGGGCCACACTCAGCAGTTGTTTCCAGAGGAGTTTGGCCTAAGAGCAGGTTGAAAGACTTGGCTTCCAGGACAGTGGATGCGAGGCCTGACCCTTGCACGCTGCCATGCACAGAACTGGCCCCCATCCCTGTGGGCCCCTGGCATAAGGCATGGGCCAAGGGGGCCACAGTCTCCAGGCAGGCTCCTTGGATCTTGGGGAGGGGAGTGGAAGGCTGCACGAGGAGAAGCAGTGTGTCCTGGTGGGGCAGAGGTGGCGTTTCGGCAATGCAGAACCTGGTTCTGAGAAGCTGGCAGCACTCTGGGGACATGAGAGCAGTTCACTGGGTCTCTGCTATTTCTTCTGCCTTGTCGTGACACCTGCAGGAGGAGGGGGGAATGCAAATTATTTGCAGCTGAAATGAAAGCAGTATGTTTTTGCATGTGTGTGCATCTAATGCTTGGGGTGCTACTAGGGAAACCAGTTTCAGATAAGCTAAACCCAGGCAGAGTTAAATCTTTATGTACTTAATGAAAAACTCATGTTTCTAGAACTGATCCTGATGTTCAAGAGTTTGGGCAACTTTGCTTTTTATCTGGGAACTAGTTCAGTCCAACAACTCGAGTCTTGCCTTTTCCAAGCAGAATACTGGAATATGCTTCTAGATATTAAATTGCTGAACTTTGTAAATCTAGAGGATTTAGCAGGGCTGTCAGAAGGATGAGGTGGCAGACAGGCATTTTTAAGAGCCTGTCTCACTCCATAACCAAAGCAAGTACCATTTCTAACGATGGACATGAAGGCAAAGGCCATATAGAAAGATGAGCATTAGCTTGATTACATTTTCGTGGTCCATTAGAAAACTGCCCACAGAGTCTGCAGAAGGGGAGGTGAAGCACTAGAATTAAAGGAAAATAACTTTTTTAAAAAGGGAAAACTTTCTCTCTCAAACCCTGCTGTCTTTGCTGTGCATATTGTAGCTGCTGCATCCCTCTTCTGCCCCTTCCCTCACTAGGCTGGGGTCTTTGGGCACTGGCCTATGTTCCAAGTTTGGTTTGTTGTTTTATTTTCTAGGCTTTAAATCAAGTAGATTTGTGAGCAAGGAAGTTGTCAAAGCCTAGCTGCTTATGGACTTGTGCTTTCAAGACTTGTTTCCCCTAACCTTTCCAAGTGACATAAAGATGGGAGGAGAGGAAAAAGAGAGCTGCACAGACACGAGCATTTGTCTGTAGCAATTCTCTAGAGTCTAAGACAAGGGAACTCAAAGAGCACCTCCCCTGAGTCCAGGCACTTGTATAGTCCCTCCTCAGTCAAACAGACTGACAGCTTTTGTTAAATGGTCCTTCTTCAAGCTCCTTTCAGATTTGGTTGGAAATGAGTTCAGACATTACCTGGGTGCACACAAGCACAGTGTGACCACCAGTGCCTTGATTCTGCAGGAAAACCATCTAGACTGTTTATTTCAGGAACATGGATACAATCTGGGATACCACTCTTCGGGTGTAAAAGCTGACATTTAAAGAACATTAATACAGAAATTGCTGCACAAGATATAGTCAAGGTGAGGGAAGAGCTCAGTAGCTGATGACAACAGTCTTTTACTACTCTGAAATGTTATTTCATAGAGTCACAGGCTGTTCCTGTCACTCTGCTGCTGTTACAGAAGCTCTAAAACCTAAGGGAATTGAGTCTTGATCCTGTGGCTGGATCTGCACTAGAAGGATGAAGGTTTCTGTGGCTTCACTGAGACCCAGAAACTTCCACATCCAGCAAAGCCACCAGAGAGAGGAATATCCTGAACCGAAAGAGAACTGGTGCTGTGACCTCAACACACCATGTGCACTTGGGACAATAAATAAAAGAAAAAAAAAATAGGTGGAACTTGCTAGGTAAAATATTGATGGGGAGCACTGTAGGCTTGTTGACTCTGTCATATCAAGAGGGATGGAACTGAGCTGCGTTTGGGTGAGGAAGCACTGTGGCTGGACGCTGAGAGAAGCAAATGGATTTTTGTTTCCTCTAACCTTTCCAAGTGACATAAAGATGGGAGTGGAGGAAAAAGAGAACTGCAGGTTTCAAGGTGCAGCTTGTCGCTGCCCTCCCGGCACTGAAGCGCAGCCGGGCACTGCTGGTGCCATGCGACTGTGCCACGCACTGTATTTTGAGGCTGCACTGAAAGCTCCTGCCTGGCTCTGTCACTTCATAAAGGTACTGTTTGTCCCTGCATTCCTCCATATTGCTTTTCTGTGTCTTCTAAGGGGAATCCAAAGTTGTCTGTGTCTCTATTTTTTTCAAATATTACTGTTTTGAAGCCTGCATGCTGGAATCCCTGTGCTTTATGTTAAAACATACATAATCCAAGTTATGATTAACTCATGGTTTCAGCTGTTGTGCAGCACGACCACTGGTCCTGACATACTTCTTACCTATGCTTTGCTGCTACTATTTTCTGCTCTTACAGTAAATCTTCCTTAGGACTATTAAACCAACAGAGCTACTTCCCTTTTCCACTTGATGTAATCCTGTGGTACAGCATGGAAAGGGCCAAGAGGAGGGCAGGAGTAGTCAGGACTGTAACTACCCAATTTATATCTTATTTTCTCTTGCTAGCAGTGATGCTCCAGGTCAGGAACAAAAGCAACCCTGTGTGGAAATCCTGCAGAGATTTCTCTGTTCTGCTACCCCAGGGGCTGGGGCTACTGGGCTGTGTGGGAGCAGAGCTCCCAGCTGGGCTTCCAGCCCTGGGCACTGGGGATGCTGGAGAATAAATACATTCCTTTCAGGAAATGAGATAAGAGATTGGACATTATTGATTGAGTTCATAAGAGATGCTCATCAGCATGGAAAGGACAATGCGTAACTATGCAATTTCAGTACAGCAGGTATTTTGATTATTTATTTTTCTTGATTTTCTTTCCACTTGCTGCAAAACCAGGCAAAATTTTGCAAATGAAAGTCTCATCCTGAAACTCCTTTAAGTTTTCTTTTGAGGAGCAACTGTATGTTGCCAGCATCCCTGAAGGATGCAGGGAACTTGGTATACAGTTTCACTAGAAATTGGGTTTACCTGTATTATTTTTGGGGCAGACAAAAGACAGATTACAACACCAACCTGTCCTCATCCCAGTAAGCCACATGAATGCACTTAAAAAGTATGTACAATCCATTTGCTCTAATGGACTACTCTGTGTGCAACTCTGGAACTGAATTTGGCTTTGAGTTTGAGCTGGTGTCTTGCCCCAACTAGTACTTCTCCCCAGGTTCAGTGTTTTATTCCCTTTTCCAGATACCCATATTTAAACAGTGCTGTAGGAAGTGGCTACCTGCAAACAAAGCAAACATTGTTCTTCACTGGAGGTAGGTACTGAAATTGCATTTTTACGTTTTTTGAGAAAATAATTGGATAAAAGCAAGGACTTTGTTTATCACATGAAGCTGGATTCACGTGGTTAGAATAATGACTTTTAATTAACTGCAGGGAAAGGTTTGGCTGCTGCTGACACAGAGGACAGACATGTGGGCTGTGACCCTGTGTCGAGGGGAGATCAGCACTGACTCCATTCAACAGAAGATCAACACCCTGGAGAGTAAAAATCAGAGCAACAAATTTATTTTACATGTATTTGTGATTAGACACAAAGACAAAAAGCTTAGCTGATATGCTGAATACTGATTAGGTCTGTAAAGTCCCAATGCTGTGGTTAGTTCACACAGAAACACCTTTGTGAGTTTACATACCTCATTGAACCACACAACCTTTTTTTGTTTTATTAGCTCCAGTATCAGTCTCAACCTCTGCTTTTAAATAAAAGAGAGACACTAAATATATCTGATCATGGTAAGGCAAATGCAACAACAGGGAACTTTTTATGATGAAAACATTTTCTAGTAGCAGAGAGGTTCCTAAGATGCCATCCCTGGATACCCAGGGAGCCCCGTGGGTTTGGGGGGGGGCAGTTCCTTGAGGCAGAAGTACTAATTTCAGATGTCAGGAAAGCATTGCCATGGCTGGGTGTGGGATGCTCCTGTTGCTGCAGCTCCTCAGGCTGCCTCCTGGGAGGCAAGTTTGGGAACCACTGTTCTGGGAAATCACTTCTGGTTTATGGCTTCTTTTTTAAGTAGGGAAAAGTAGCATGTTTAGAAACATAAATAACTACAGCCCCAGGGCATGCTGGTATTATAAACGTAAGTCCCTCTGTGGTAGACGCTCAACCCATGCCATCTTCCTCAGCAGTGGGTATTCAAACTCTCCTTTCTTCTCCACCTTTCTCAGAAGGAAAAACATTAAACGTTGATAAAAAGAAACTTCTACCACTTTCCTGCCCATTTGTTTGACCCCAGAATCTTGCAGAAAACAGGCTTTGGACAGTACACGGCCTCTTTCTAAAGGCTGACAGACCCATGTGTCTCCCATATAAGGCACCTCTAATTTGGGACTAATTACCCACCCAAAGGTGGCTTCAGATCGGTAGAGTCTGAGGGACCTGGATGCACTTCCCAGGTTTGGGACCGGCTGTGGATGTTCGCCATGAGGGGAAGACCTGGGTGGCTCCACACCTCCAGCGACTGAGCTCTCTCCCTGCACTGGTGGGGCCGCCCGGTGTGAGAGACCAATTCTGCCAGTCAAACACCATCTTTCAGGGAAGCATCAGCAAGATGCTCTTTTTTAATAGTTGACTTTCTTCCCTCACCCTAAAGTGATGGCTTGAGGGCCTGACGTTCAGGAGCCACCTAATGTACCCCTTGGACAGGCTGTCAAGTCCATTGCAGGCAAAGTGCTCTTGCAATGGGGCTTAGGAGAGGAAAAACCAAACCACCCCAGGCAGCACTGATGTTGCTGCCTTTATGTGTTTATAAGTAGTTGAGAGGGGGCGATTGCTGATTAAGTACCCAGTATTAACTGCTCTTAATCACTGCTCTGGAGTCTAATGGAGCTCTTGTTTGCACATAACCATGCCTTGTAGCTGTCTTTAGCACACTTGACAGATGTGCTTATTGCCATCTTTACTGCATATGTGTAATGGGCTTTTTAATTATTGATTCATCATCACCTCTTTATAAACTACTTATAAATGTCAAGAGAATGAACTATGCTTGTGTTTTTCTTTTTAAATCTCTCTCAGGTTTAAAAAAATAACAGCTTCATGAAACTGCATGGCTCTAGGGGCAGAGGGCATTGGACCTCGAAGTGGGGAGGAGGAGATATATACAAATATATGAAGAAGTGTCCCCAGTTTAACTCAGTCCCCAAGGACTATATATGAAATAGGTACCTGAGTAGTTTTTGCTATGCCTCTTCTTCTTCCTCCGTTTCCCAGGTGGCCTCTGTTTTTCCCTGTCAGTGTGAGTTTGCCCTGAGGGGAGCGTTGCTGAACAAGAAGAGTCAGTGGCTGGCTCCTCTGAGAAGGATTTCTCTTGAGAGGTGTCCAACAGCGAGTCTGTACCAGGGTCTTCATTTTCCTTTGCCATCTCTTTTGAATATGCCTGATGAGCCTCATCACAGGGAGCGGACTGAGTGCTGCCAGGGTCGACCCTGGTCTTTCCCAGCTGGGTTTCTGGCTCCTCTGACAGCCTGGAGCTCTCCAGGCCATCAGCTGGGCATTCCTTGTCCCGGCCTTCTGAGATGGACCCACTGAGTTGGTCTCTCAGAGAAGTGCCTGAACTGCTGCTCACAAACCTTATCCCCGTGCCTATGTTAGCAGCAGAGAAGGCAATGGAGCCACTCTTTGTGCTCATCTGGAGGCTTGCCCAGCTGTCTGCCTGCTCCATCCTGCTACCTGACATGGGCTGATCACCCCGAGCAGCTTCCATCAAGCTTACTGAGGGGCTTTCCATCTGGGAGTCTGGTGGCAAATTTCCTCCAGCATTGTTTTTAGATAATGCCTGGTTTGAAGCTGAGGCATCTGTAACATCTCCGCCCATCTCCATCAGGGCAGGGGTAGAGGGAGGCGTGCTTTCTGAGGGATGACTGTTCTGCTTCGTCTCTTCATCAATCTGCTTTCCTGCTGCTTGTGGATGCTTAATGCTCTTTCCTTTAAACAAAAAACATTCAATCAGCTGTGGCTGCTGCAGAGTTGTACCTGTGATCAACCAAGGTGGTTCTGCCACTGAGAGAGGTTACAAGCTAGCAGCTGCCTGTGGAGGGTGTGCTGACCCTAAAGCAGCTATGCAGAGGCAGCACCATTCTACCCTCTCTATACCTCCCACTCTTATAGCCCATATGGTCACCCTAGTTGGACTCCAAGGTTCCAGCTCAACATATGTCTTTGTTGCCAAGTGGCTGATTTCCAAGGAACCCCTGGACTCACAAGGTTGCCTGAAAGCCTACAGCAGAAGGAGCGAACCCATCTGCAAGGACCTGAACCAGGTGGGACTGCTGGCTTGGCTGCACGAGGACTTCAAAACTGTCCATCAACCAGCCTAATCCTGCCCTTGCAGAGCAGGTTCAGGAAAGCTACAGTGCACAAGTCAGGCTTTATGGTAGGCCAGTGTCCTTGGACTTAATCTAACATGCACTGACACCAAGGTCAAGAGACCAAAGAAAAGTTAAACCCATGGGCTATCTCCTAACAAGCACTTAAAGGACTTGGGTCCTTCTGCAAATAGGGTTTTCTAATCTTAAGTGCTTCTTTAGACTCCCAAGTGTAGACTAAGACAAAGCGTAGCAGTCTCTAATGCAGTGACAAGCTGTGCTACTGAGACTCAATAGCATGGAGGGGACTCGTGTGGGGATGACACCAGCGCTTCATCAGCGTGGTTATCTAGCTGACCTGTGGGCTGTGCCTCTCAGAGGGTTTGTCAGCATGGGTTCAAAGCCATGCTGCTCCAAACTGCTGCTAATTCTGGGACAGACCTGGCTGGCAACAGCTCAGGGCTCTCTGCTCTTCTCCATGGCACTGGCTACAAAAGCCTCCTTAAATAAAATGCCCCAAATGCAAATGTAAAGGTTTCTTGCTTGTGTGCTTGGCTCAGGCTCCAAGGCAGATGGGAATGAATAGCTGTAGGTACAGTCAGGTCTGTGTCCTTACCAGACTGGCTCTCCTCCAGGCTCTCTGCCGGCAAGGTTTTAGGAATTGCATCCGACTCATGTCTGTTCTTTGTCTTTCTCAGCGTGAACCCTTTCCTTATGTCGGCTAGCAGTGCATCGATGATGCACACCTCCTCCTGCTTCACCACCCCCTTCTTAACTGGGATAGAGAGAGAGAGAGAGATGGGTGTTAAACCTGCCCATGAGATGGGGCAGAAGGAGACTTGCAGCGATGCTATTGCTTGAGGTGGGTACTGCTGTCCCGATACAAGCAACCACTGGGCAAAAGCAATGCCCTGATGCCAGGCCTGGGAGAGCCCATGCTCTGTGCCCCCAAAGCAGCGTGTCCTGGCTGAAGTCAAAGGGCTGACCCCAAAGTCTGGGTGCTACAGTCTGGCACCAGTGGCACCAGCTCTGCCTTGACTTGTGCCTGGTTGTACCATGGTCTTGAAAGACCTCCTGTTTGCTATCTGTGTCAGTGAGGGAGGGCCCTTTATTGGTGGGGGAGAGGGAGGATGGAGGGAAAATAATCTTGATTTTTGTTTCCTCTCAGCTTCTTCCAATTGTACTTTTCAGTTGTGCCTTTCATTTTCATCGAGAGAAAGGCAGACTTATCTGCAAGATTTTTGGGATGTCAGTAGTCTGTGGTAAAGAGAGACTATTCAAGCGTCTGAGGGGATTTTGGAGAGGGAAGAAGTCAAATGTTTCTTGTTAGATTTAGGATTCAGAAGTTGTGATTAGAAACTGAAAAAGTTAACTGAAATGTTTCAATTTGATTTTTTTTTCCCCTCTGCTGTTCAGTCAGCAAATCTAAAATTAACTTTTCTGCCCAGCTGCAACTGTGAAAAGTCAATTCTTAGCCATGGCTGTAAGACACCTAAAAGCCTTTAGTCAGTCAGCACCTGGAAACCCCCAAAATAAATTACCACTACTGCTTCATTAAAGCAGGACCAGCAAATAACTCCTATTAGCTCCATCTCTTTTTGAAGCACTTTCAGGTACTCACTGACTTTTCCATTTTCTCCCTTCTGTCTCTTCCCCTCTTCCTCTTCCAGCTGTTTCTTCCTCTTTTCTGCTTTGGCAGCTTGCTCCTTTCTGTCCTTGTTTTCCTGCAGTGAGGTAACAGGGGCATGAGAAGGTTGGATAAATGTCTGCTAGAAAAGCTAATGAAGAGAAAGAAGATCTGCAGATGGTTGCAAAGGAGGAAGAGAAATTCTGGCCTTATCGCATGCATGGGAAATAAAGATTCTTGCCAAGAGGGTGAGAGGGAGACTGATGGTTTGCCCGGGACTCTGCCACATCCCAGTAAGAGGTGGCAGCAGTGATCTGCCTAATGCAGCTACCTACCACTGTACATATCTTCTCTCTTACCTTGAGCTGAGGCAAAAGTGGAAGATACTGAAGCCACAATTTCCTCCAAATTGGTGGCTTTTTTTATTACACATCTCCTTTCTGAGTCTGTTTGCTCAGGCTGGAGCAAAGGGTTGTTTCATAAGCCCCTTCCTCTAAAACTTACACACTCGTCTCCAAAGCATCTTTGACTGTGAAGCTGAAGCTGCACCAAAATCGCAAATCACCAGGGTCTGGGCCAGGTCAGGAGCACCAGCTCTGAATGAGGATGCAGTGGAGTAAGGATCAGACACCTTTTCACCAGGTGACCTCATGCCAAGTGCCAAAAGGAGGAGGCTGTAACTAGCATCTTCTCCTCATGGGATTTGGGTGCCCATCCCACCCCTGTCTGTCGGAGCACCAGTACTAGAGATGCCCAGCATCATGTGTGCAGATGCCAACCTTCAGGGCTCGGATGAAGAGATCTCTGAAGGTCTTCATGGTGCTAAATATATCCTCTAATGACAACTTGCTTGGGTCTTCACAGAGATAATTTGCAAGTTCTTCTCTCTTCTTTTCAATGGTTTCAAATTCTTCTTCCAGCTTTCTGGAGGCATCAATACTATCCTGAAATGTATTTAATATATACAGTAAAACATGATCCAGAGGACATGCACTTAAAGAAAAAAAGGATGTCAGTGTAAGAGCTTGGAGCAGGACTCTGGGCCCTGGCTTTTAACTGCATCAGTTTATAAGGTGGGAAGAAACTAAGATTTGCAGATGATCTTTGCTCCTGACAACTGTGCTGTGCCAGTTTACAGGGGTGGCTTGAGCAAAACATGGAAAACTCAATGCAAAGCTTAATCCCAAGAGAAGGCCTTTATTCCGGTGATCCACACAGAGGGTGAATATCTTCACTCAAAGTGAGGAGTCACACAACAGAGTGGAGAGAACAGCTGGAGCAAGGGCATTAAGAAATGGCCTCACCAAAGGTATCTAGGTTTGGGGTGGAGCTGGCAAACAGACACTGAGGGGTTGTGTGGCAGCCTATTTCCAAATCTGAGATCATGTCTTGTGGCACTATTTTTCCCACCCTCATTAGCCTCCTCAGATGCATATGTACTGTGCACTGGCTGTGTCTGTGTAATGGGGGAGATTATAAGAGAGCTCCATTACTGACCTGGATGGGTTTCTCATACTGTTGTTTCACATCGTCGTTTGATGATAAGACTTTTCGCTGGAGCTCCAGCAACTTCTTTAAATTGGTACTGGACTCCGTGCGTATAATATCAAGATTAATTCTGAAATCACACAGAACCTCCCCATTAGTTTACACTCCAGCATCTTGCACTGACCAAAGAGCGGACAAATCTGAGCTGGTGGTTTGGTTGTCCCTTTGCTTCCCACCACTTCACTGAACTGAAATCTGAAAGCTCTGAACTCTCTGTACAGTCTGAGCTCATGGAAAAGAGCTTCCCTCCACAGCACTTACGAAAATGCTGCCAGGCCTACCTAAAACTCTGTGTATTGACTAGATGGATGCTGGAAAAAGTCCACCCACTCAAAGGGCTGTTCTCCATGCTCAGAGCTCGGTATTAGCTCACTTCCCCTGGTTGAAGATGCTTCAGAAATGCTTCTGGGTAGCTGGCCTTCACAATCTCCTGCTACCACAAAAGCAGTGCAGAATTTGGAAGGGCCTGGGAGGCAACATTAACTGAATGCTCTGCAAATTTCAACCCTAAGTGTTGCCAGCTGTAGTAGAACTATTATATATTAAAGGGGTTTCAACATTCATCAACCAAATCTTTTGGTTAAAACTAAATAAGATGCCATCTTGTTAATGTGCTATACCAGCTGCGTGTGTCCTAATTTCTGGTACATTGTCGATGTGTATAGGATTTATTTTTGTTTTTAATTTGAAGGAAGTGACACACAATCTTACCCTGCTGCTTTTGAAACATATTCAAGATCCTTTGGAAGTTCCAGTAGGTCTGTGTGGCTGTTTTCTACTTCCTGAAGTGGAAGAGAAAAAAAAGTGTTATTTGCTGTGTGTCAGAACCTGAGAGAGGAAGCTGGGGGGAAAAGACTTGGGCAGAAATGCCCGGGAAGGATGAATGCACCACATCCTGCTGCTGCCCTGCTTCTGCAGTTTGCTTTGCCTCTCAGAGCCAAGCTATATTCAAAACAGGACAGCATGTTCAGAGAGGAAAGGCATTGCTCCTGGGCTAGAGACATACAAGAGGGCTGAATGTTGAGAAATACTCATAATTCAAAGCAAATCTGGCCTCCCGCTGAAGTTTTCTTCTACCTTCTTCTGAGACACTCACTCTTGACTAATGAAGAGGGCAGGACTGTGGTTTGATGCAGTCTGACACTTTCTGTGGTCCCAGGAGTGTATCAGGAGGGTTTGAATCTTATTTGCATAATTTACCTTCATGGCTGTGCTTGCTGAAGCTATAGCCAGCTAAAGCAGACCTTAAACATGCATAAGAGAAACGGAGGGACCTTAATGAATAAAGGTGGTGAGCAGACCATGGAGAAAAAAGGAAAAAACCAGTATTGCAGGGAATAACAAAGCCACGGGGGTTTGGAAAGGAGCATGAAAAAGTCAAGCATAGTCTGATGGAAAAGGGAGAGGTTGTGGAAAGGCAGAAGGGCTGAATGGGTACAGACTAGCCAAGATAGCTTTGGTAGCCATGTGCTCTGTGGTTTGCAGCTGATGATGTGCTGCACAATTTGTGCACAGATTGCACAAATATGAAAAAGGAAGTTACAGCCATCATGGGGAAAGATGCTGGAGGAAAGCAGAACAAGTCTTAAAATAAGGAGCTTCCTGAGTAGCACCCACAAGCAGCCTCCACCAGCCTATTGAATGCTCTCAACTTGTGACACACTGTGGCTAGCCAGAGAGGATACGAATACGAGTGTGTGGCATTAACTGAGAGTAGGAGAAATGGTTTCCTCCGTGATAAAATCATCCCTCCTCCCTATCGCAGAGGATTTGGCAGTGGTACCTCCAGAATATGGTGGAGCAGCGTAATGCGAGTTTGGTTTGCTTTGGTTTCTGTTAGTTTGAGTAAAGTGCTGATTTTAAACCCATCGGCATCGCCCGTGTGACTTCCCTACGAGACAAAAGAAAGAAGGTGTAATAACTCCTGTGTCCACCCAAATCAGAACCCTAAATAAGATCATCCCCATACTGTAACAGGGGGAGGACAAGACAAAAGAAGTCCTTACATAGTTCAGAAAGTTTCCAACTTTGAGAATCAGTTGACAAAAGAGTGGCAGGCGATGACTGTTCAGAAGATCTGAAAAACATAAAGGACTTTTAAACAAAAGTCTCTGTTACACCAGAACATTTCCTAAACTGCACTGAAATTGGGATGCTGAGTTCCACCCAACCAAATCTGATATTTCCACTTTGCAGCCCAATGGCCCAACCTGCAGAGAAACTGACTTTACAAATACTCAATTCCACAAGCAGTAAAAGCTTTTGTTGGCTTATGTTTCTTTCTTTCTTTACATCTGGTCTCTCACTCCTAATGGGAAATAATTTGCAGTTGAACCCTCCTCACTAACAGCCATCAACTCGCTGCCTTCCTTGGAAGTACCCCGATTTACCCTAGCGTGGGCAGGGGTAACTGGGCTCCAGTATTATCTTGCAGACTCCATTCAACTGTGCAGCGAGGCCAGTTCTGACAGCTCTGCGATTGTCTGCCAGCTGCTAAAACCAGACACGTTCGTCCTGTTCTTGGTCATGCATAGTGGAGGTGATTATCAGGGCATGAAGGGTACAGTCCCTGTCCTTGCTCTTACAACAGGGTGCTGCAGGGGTGTGCTTTCTGAAGCACTCAGCTTCGAGGCAGGAACAGCTCCAAAAGGACAACTGGGCTGCTGGGAAGACACTTTTTTGGGGAAGCTTCAATTCATCCCAGCAGGCAGCTCTAATGCCAGCTGGAGAAACTCCCGGCAGGAGTTGGGGGAACCGGCTCTGTAGGACAGGCAGCACTTGACAATGCCAAGAAGAGCATCCTGCTCTCAGCACAGTGGGACCAGAGGTTTCTGCCATGGAAAGCCAAAATCTATTGCATAATCTCTCCATATACTCACAAAATTGGAGTATCAGCAATTTATAGCCCAAAATAACAACCATTATCTTCTGGTTCCATTTGTAGTCAGGGAAAAACTGATGCATCACTACTTTCTGTGGGAATTTTGGGGTGTGCTTTTCTGGCAGCAGGGAAAATTGCCATGTGAAGATCTTAATGTGGCAAATAATGCTGGATGAATTAGCTGTAAATGGGCCCAGCTCCACGGTCTAAATTCAGCTCATTTGAAAGAGCTTCCAGTATTTTACTTTTGTACGTGTTTCAGAGGAATATATCTGCTGCAGAAAAAGAGGGCTGAGGGTGAGGGAAAATGATCTCTGGTTCTATTAAGGGCTTTGACCATCAGTGGAGATACCTAAAGCTGCATCCTGTATTCTGCAGCCAACCAGTGAATGGACCACAGAGGAGTTTGTTTGGGGCTGGGTAGTATCATTGCAGAACTCCAGGGGAATTTTGGGGGGTTTAAAACTTCTTGTCATAAATGATCCAGAAATAAGGTCAGGTCATTTACCTTCACAGGCTCTCCGGATGGCTTCAGCTTTTGGCTGAATCATGTCTAGTACAACAGTGGTCTCTTCACAGATCAGCATACATTCAATGCGCAGCTGGTAGCTAAGGATGGAGATTCAAAGTTTAAAGGCACTGTGATCTTGGCCAGCACAGCAACCCTCTTCCCACATCACCATTTAGTCTGGCAACACCACAGAGTCGCTGTTAACCACACCCACATCAAACCAGTGTCTGTGGCTTGTAGAGAGGGAGGCAAGGGGCTGCTGCTTGCTTTGGGGACCAGCGTCTGCTAATGCACTGTGATCAGCAAAGAAAAGACTGACCACCGTGTGAGATATGGGTTCCCCCCTCTCAGCACTGCATTTGGCACTGCCTTTCAGTAAGTAATGGGGCCTCCTTGGGCAGGTCTGAGCCAGCTTCTGCTATTTCAGAGGGAGAGGAGGTGCTGGAGCAGCAACAGCCCTTCATCTAGGGTTAACGGGGAAAGGGATGGCTCAAAGGTGAAAGGGGGAATCCACCAGCCATATCCATCAGTGTCGGTCTGTGGGGATCCTATAAAGAAACTTGAACTCCCCAGAGGCAAACCAAGAAAAAGACTGGGCTGAAATTCATGACCAACACCCTTACCTGGGAATCTGAAGGAGGAGAAGATAAAACTGATCTGCGTTTGCTAGCTTTGATTTCTCTTCTTTGAAGGTTTTCAGGTTTTCTATCTAATGAGAAATAAAGAATCAAGACTGCAGGACTGCACTGCGTGTTCAGCTCTGTGAAATAAGGGGAACATTTTTCCTCCTAACCTCATGCTTTTCAGGCAGAAGCTTCAACAACTGCTTCAGAACCTCAACATCGAATTTGGTTCGGTCCCCATTCCGGACCATGGCAGCCACCTCTTCATTGGAGCTGCAGGGAGGAGGAGCAGAGTCAGGCATCACCCAAAGACCCCTCTTCCACAGTCACACACTACTGACATATGTACCTGTGCAAACACTCCGTGCTTTCCATAGTCAGAGCCACAGGAATCCAAAAGGAAAGATATGTCCCCACGATTAACTTGGAATTGGGATCTGGATCCCTGCTATGCCCCCAGTTTTCTTTCTGGCTCTGGTCAAATGACTCCAGGCCAAAGATTAATCCTGCAACACAGATCTCTGCCTCTGGGTATTTGATTACCTTAAAAGAAAATGTAATTCTTAACTTCTCCATTGGCCCTGTTTTGAGGAGGGATTTGACTTCCAGAGGTGTCTCACAGCCTAAGTCACCCTAGGAGTCTGCACCACAACTTTATCTGTAACATGGAGATGTAATGCCTTTGATAACATACGGTGATGTCCTATGTAAAAACATAATTAAACCCCTAAACTCAATATTTTAAAGACAATGTGGGACAAACTGGGAAATGTTCAGATGTTTCAGTAAGTCAGTCACCAAGGCACACTGGCTAGAATAGACTTCATGAGGATCTTCCAGATACTATGCAAAACCTGCGCAAAGTTTTGTCAACTTCCACAAATATTAGCCATATCTTACCATTTAAATTGCTTCAAAAATATGTTCAAATTGAGACTTTTCTTGGAGTCCAAAAATGTGATCTTCATTAAAGAAAAAGAAGATATCTCATATTAGATGAGCTGTCTGCAGTGATCTTTATTCGAAAGAACGAGAGGGATCTCCTCACCTCCTTCGGTTCTGCTTTCACTGGTGCAGCCGTTTTCTCCTTGGGGGTTGGTTGTGGAAAGCAAAACAGCTGCTCTATGCTTGTGTAATTGGGCTCTATAGTTTCCTCGCTGCTGCTGCTCACTGAAGCCCACATTGAGTGACTTTCTGAAAAGAGACAAGGTGTTCAGACTGGCTACAGGGACAGCTGAAAGCTGCTGGCTTTTGGGGCAATGTGAGTTGCTAGAAAGGACACTTCTCAGAAGATGAATGAAATAAGAGGAGACATATTAGTCCTGGAAAAATGCTAATAATTGAGGAGGGGCAAGTCCCACAGGCACTGGAGGGTAATTAGACACCCCAAAGATGGGCTGGTGCAGTGTTGCAGCACTGGGCACACAGAGCCCTCCCTATACAGCTGCATTCTCCTCCACAGGAGGCAAACTGGATCAGCATGAGATGAACCTTGACCATTTCTTTTCTAGTCCCATGGCTGATGTCTTATTTGCTTCCTTGCATGCTAGCTGAGGACACAACCTGAACATTTTCTGACTGTAGTCTTCCTCTATTTTTCATTTTATAGTCAAGCCTCCTTGTATAATGCTGGCTGTAGGACTGCTTGAATTAATTCCCACTGCACTTCCTTAAAAATCTTTTTTTTTAAAAAAAACCCCAAATGGCCAAACGTGCCTGTAGAAGTCTCTACTGAAATAATCCCTACAATTAACTGCTCCTGTGATTGAAAACATGCCTTATTTAGACTTAATGTATGCCAACTTCCATGCAGTGTATGCCTTGCTTATCTAGGACAAAGCTGACGTTGCCTGTCTTGGCTCCTTCTCACATTTCATGCTTCTCTTTGGATCCACTAGGAGAGGGAAATGTAACCCAAAAAATCAAGAGGCAAGTCAATGATTCTCATGGCTCTCCAATTCTTTCAATGTCCTTCTTGAACTGTGATGTAATCCTTACCTGCACTCTTACTCATTAATATACCCAGATAGAAGTATAGATGAACTGGGGAACAAAAGTCTGGGGAGCCAAGATCAGAGCCTGTTGAGAACTCAAGCCTAAAGTGTGTCATCGTGGATTAGGGAAATATTCCCATCTCTCCTGCTCCTTTTAATTTTCAAGTATTTTAGCTATAAACAAGCTATTCCAAACTATAGATTTAATTGGAATGGTTATTATATAATATTAGTAGTTTCATGCTACTTTTATTCATTTAGGGGGTGGAGGTACTGGGGCGGGAGCAGTGTTGGGTGGAGGGTTAGATGTCTCTGGTGAAGCAAAGCAGGCTGTGAGCTGGGAGGATGAGATCTTTTCATTGGTGAGTGGTCCTGAGGGAACTGCTGGTGCCTTCGAGGAGGGGTTTGATGATCCTGCTGAGCTCCGAGCTGCATGTACACATGGCTCTAGCTCAGCCTGGATGCCTTCATTTGCACTCCCAGACAGACTTTTTTCAGCTCGCTTTTGCTTGTTTGGATGTTTCTTGATAGATAGCAGCCTCTCGATGACTTCTTCAACTGTGTTCCCTTGGACTAGAGAAACAAGTCACAGTCAGAGGAGGGGATGGGGCCCAAAGGTTGTTCATGCTACTCAACCCTCACCAAGCAGCAGATCTGGAGCCACAGAGCCACTCCCTGGTGTCACTTTACACAACTGCAGTTTCAGCTTCCAGGCAATTTCCTTCCCATGGTCCTGGCCCACAAACACTGTTTGAGCATGCCTGCCAGCAAGACTAGCCAGCACTAGTGGCAGGATGCCAATGAGGAGAGATTCCCACTGACTGCCATGACCCAAAGCTCAGGTCTTAACCATCAAAGCAAGACTGTGAATCCTGAGCCCACTGCTAAATGTGACCAGCTCCCCCTGACATCCACATGGCTGGGGCTTTGCATCAAGACTTGACCCTATGCAGGACATGCAGCTCTGTCCCAGCTTCTGTTCAGCTATTAGCAAGTCCCATAGATTCTTTCCTATGCATTTGGGAAGGAATTTTGTGGGTGGGACAAGGGAAGACAAGAGGAGAGAGCAAGGCTGGATAGATATTCTTACTGTCATTTGCGAGCAAAAGGGCTCTGTTCACTACTGCATCCAAGGACTCCCACAGCAGGAGGCTGGAGTGATGAGAAGGTTCCAAGTGGAGCAGGCTCTGGAGGATGGACAGCAGCTGGATGGAGACTGGAGAGCGGCTCACCTGGAAGACAGGGCAGCTTTCCATCACAGCAAGGCTGGTTCTAAGCAAAGGGTGTTAACTTTGCCATTGCATGACTCTGTGCCTCACGAGAGGCCCTACTTACTTTATTGAAGAGAGATGAAAAGACCTCATGATGATCGTTCATGTTTATCCCATCACATATCTTTAATAATTCCTCATCATCTTCTATCTTGAACTCCTCAAATGTATCACACTGGATAAGCAGATCCTCCTCCTCTATGTCTCTGCAATATTACAGCATTCATTTTCACTGGAGAGCACTTCACTGATTTTCAGATGATTGTTTTTGTTCAAATGGCTTTTATCTCTGCCTCTCAGACTCAGACAGTTGATGCTGAAAGTACCCACCTCTACCTTATTTATAAAGGATCAAATGCCATCAGTGTGTTTCTTGAACTGAATGTGCCTCTTTCTACAGTCAACACATCCAAATGAATGGGACTTTTCTTGGCATAACCTGGCCCAGTGTATGCTTTGTATGGACTTCTCCTTGGAGCTGTAACAACAGAGGGGCATTTCTACCTTTTTGAAACTGGACCACCTTCTTTTCTTTTTTTTTTTTAAAGTCAACACAAATTGAAAATATTCTAGTGACATTTCTATTTGAAAAACTTCCTTCTCTGTTACTCAAAATCGGATTAAAAAACCCCCAAACACTCTTGGGGCCAACTTTTTCATCACTCTGGAGACCACTCAGTGCAGGAACTCTACCCTTGCTAGTTGGCATTATTGAAAGATCTTCTCGTCTCTAATTTTTATGGAGTTGGATGAAGCAATTCCAGTTACATGGATAATTGCAACTCACATATAATGCATTCTGGAATTTATCATGGGTGTTTCTGACAACATAGTTTTTAAAATAAGAAACTGCAAAGACAGGTATGTCCAGATACACTTTAGAAATTATTTTAGCTGGATGCTTCTGGGATCAACACCATCAGTGAATGGGTTTTGAATACAGCAAAATGCTCAGCGAGCCCACAGCACTGCTTTAGATTCAGTCTGAAATGCAGCCTCAGTGAGGACATTGCTGAGCCTTGCTCTATCTGTGCCAGAGCCTCTGTCAATGCCATCTGCACTAACAGCTGTCCCTGTGACACTGTGGCTGGCAAAAGCATCTTAAAACTGGCCTAATGTCTCCGTTTCCCATGTAATGGGTGCACACAAGCATGGTCCACTCCACCCGAGTACACTTCACTTCACACAGCTGAAGGCTGATAAGTATTTAGCTTCCACAACTATGTTACTGTGAATCTCATTTACAAAAGAAAATTTAAACAGTGATCCTTACCGTAGCTTGTCTAAAATATCCAACAGCTGAAGCCCTGGGAGAACAAAAAAATAGATATATTGGTATTATGACCTACTTGGTACTTATCTATTATGATCTTTATATAATGTTATGCTCATAAACACTTTTTGCAGAGAGAAAAAGTGAAAATATCTTCAGATGGATCTGCCAAAGTGAGTAGGGTCATATGTTAAATGAAGAGACTCATGGTACACATGTTAGCAGCTACACGAACCACTGCAGAATCTCCCTGGAGTTACTGAGGGACACAGGCACTTCTGCAGCATGAGTCACCTCCTTCCAAATGAGACATCTAAAATCAGTCAGGGGAATGGTGTGGTCAAATATCCCTTGCTCTCCACAGAGAGGAATGGAGCCCACCAGCTCAGATGTATGCATTAAATGAGGTGAATTCTAGCAATGGTACCTAGGATCCCAGTATTCAATCAGCTGGAAACTATTTCTGAATCACAGGACAGCTTCTGTGTCTCAGCTGAGTAGACACAGGGCAAAGAAACCTTACCTACTCTTATGAGGAGTTGCAATATCTGGAAATGTGGTTATATAAGATGGTTGGTTATAGAATCAAAGAATTATAGTATTGAAGAAGCTCAAGTGATACAATGCTGCTGGGGTTCCAGAAAAGATCAAAGCTATGGGAAAGCAGCAAAGTTAAAAAATATCTGGTTACAGAAAGGTTGTTGAAGAAAACAGAGGCCAAAAGACAAATATTAAAGGAGTCTGCCTTGAATATTTGCAGTTTTGCTCCCCAGCCCTCTTTAGTGACCTTATGGATACATCTGAAATAAAACTGCTTGGCAACTGATTTTCTCCAGAGAAAGTTAGGTGCAACAAACACCCTTACCTATGAACTCATTTCTGATTTGTGTCCTTGTTCTTAGCTCTTCCTTCCCCAATATGATGGCATTGATAGCACTCAGCAGTGTCACCATGTATGGCACATTATCTGTGTTGGAGAGCTCATTCATTATGACGCTGAATCGATACTGCTGGTTCTTCACACTCTGTTAACACAAGGGATATTTCTGTTCAGACAGTTCAGAAACGTCTACCACTTTGGTGCAGGCTCTCAAATAGAATTAGCATCCTAAAACGTCTCAGTTTATCCTGCTGTGCACAAGACAGGAAAATACATGTAAAAGCAGCATTCCTCCATCATGGAGCAGGGTCTGGTCAGCAGGAAAAGTCAGTGAAACTCCTCTTGGATCCTTTTATGCTTTCTAATAACTCATGCGCCTACCTGGGCTTGTGGCTAGTGAAACCCATGGATGCAGCACTATCTATTTTGCTAATCTGACAGTGCTTTTCCTGCCAGAAAGGACCTTGTGGTTGGCAATCATCTGTCCAGACAAATCACTGAGCAGCACCGTGGACTTCCACCAACCAGGCCAAATTTCCTACAGTTTTCACCTTATAAATCCCTACCTCTCTAACAAAAATGATGCAAAATGACCTTAATTATCAGCCCTTTTCTGTGGGACATGGATCTACCTGCATGGATCAGAGCAGAGCTGTACCTCCTGCTGCAGCCCAACACTTGCCTTGTAATGGTCCAGGGCATCCAAAGCCAAAGCGTGGCCATCTGATGAGTAAATACACAGTGCAGCCAAGAGCTCAAATACTTGCTTTTTGACCATGACATTAGTTGTGTCAAGTGCTGGAGAAAAAACCAAACAAAACAAAAAAGAATTTATGATTAAATTAATGCTCTGAATCTCAGCGTCTTCTGCTACATGGCTTATGAACAGTGGTAGAAAAAAGACTAAAAGGAGTGGACACAGCATGTGGAAGATGGGAAGAAAAATATCTCAACATATAGATATTCCATCCCAATAGCAATATCTGGTAGTAACTTCTAATGAGAACAGTAAATGCTAGTTCAGGTACACTATTGGTATTCTGGTGCTTCTTGTAGGTGTTCAGTTCTCCCATGTACCAGTGGTGCACTGCAACAGCAGCCAAGATCTCAGCACCCGTAATCACATTTTTTTTTCCCATTTTCACATATGGGTATTTTCTAGAACAGCAGATGAACCATTTTCCTCAATTAATGAGTCTTATTTTTAGTGCAGAAACACCCAGTATGCATATCAAGCAGGCCAATTGTTCTAACGAGTCCCCACGTATTCCCTTTTACCGCTGTTCTTTCTTTGTGAGCCCTTGGGGTAGGATTAGTCCATCTTATTTTTTCTTTACTAGTGCACAAAGAAGCTTGACTGCTGCAAAGTCCAGGGAACCCCCCTGTTTTTCACAGCACAAAAATTCCAGCTCTATATTTCACACTGGTTAAGAAAATACAGGGTGGAGAGGAAGGAAGAGATAGTTAAAACTGAAGAGGGGAGCAAGCTAGCTTTCAGACTAAATGTATTTTAAAGAGCTATTGATAAGGGTTTCTGGGCACAGCTGTGATCTCTGTTCTGTGAAGCAGCACAGAAGTTATCCTCCCAGCACCCATCATTAGGTGCTACACAATAAGACCTAGGAGATGCCCTGACAAGTTTCATACCTAACGCCAAGACAAGTGAATGGCAGAAGTAAGTGGTATTACATATCATTTTCTAGAAGGAACAGACTGAGCAGGGCAGAGAACAAGCTCTCTCAAGTCTAAACCATGCCACCTTTCTTCCTTTTAACAGGCTACAAGTCTTCAGGCCCTGTCAATACCTCTCCCTCTGCCCTTGGGGCTCACAAAGACTAAATAGCAAATGTCTGCTGACAACTGAAGGGTCCAGGACTTCTCATGCCTGTGTACAGCTAAGGCTGGGTTTATCCTTGGCTTTTCAGTAAACTATGAAGATATTTGTGTGGAAATAGTATTGGGTGGCAAAGGCAATGTGATTTCAAAGCAGTATTATTATTTGAAAGAAGAAAATGATCTCATTAATCAGTTATGACCAACAAGTTGCAAGAAACCTGGTGCAGGACAGGAGGATAATCAACAGGAAAGTTCCCCCCACCATGCCATATGTGATGGATGAAGCAGGAAGACGTTTGCTCACCTTGGAAGAGTTTTCTGACATAGCCCTCATTGCTCACAATGTATTCAATGCCTTTGTGGGAGTTCATGACCGCTCGCACACAGTTAATGCAGGTGAGCTGAAGCAAGGCATCAGAAATCCTGGCCACTCCTCGCCCGGACAGCCTGTCCAGAGCCTCCAGGAGGAGGTCCAGCCCACACAGCTCCAGGAACTGGACCATCCAGGCATCATCGCTGTTCTCCAGCCGCTTCTTCAGCCCAGAGTAGTTCACCACCGATGGCATTTGCAGGAGACGGATGCACAACTCAGGCTCTGCATTTTCCAGGTTGGCCTCTGAGTGGTCAGTCTCCTGGGGTCCGAGTTTCTCCTTTAGGGCAGCCCACTTCTTGTGGGCACCCTCCTTTTTGATTGACATGGTGAACAGTTTGTCCTGAAGGAAAAGAAAAAACAAAGTGAGAAGTTTGTCTGGACTGACCAACAACTCTCCAGCAGCCCTAGATTTTCTCCTAGTGATCGGGATATAAAGCTCAACTGCAGCAGGTCTCCAGCTCTCCAGCACATAGGGCACACACTGGAAGCAGTCCTCCGCTGAAGAAACTCAATATAATAACCCTCTTTAACCACATACATTACATTCAGGCCCTGAAAACTCTGTAGAGAGACTCTTAGCACATCTAAGCCAGCAAATACAGCTTTAAAAGCAGCCAATTTACACCAGTCAACCGTCATTACCTATTTTCATGCAGCAAAAGGATAAGGTTGGAGGAGGCATTATCAGCTCTGAACTCCTTATTCCCATTAAACCACTTTAAAATCTCACTGCGCTGGAGAGGCTGTGTAGTTTCTAAGCATTTGTAATGGGATGGAGAAATAATTTTGAGCATATCCTGCTCATAAGAGCATCCAATTGCCCTGTTATTTTTTGCTTTTGTTTCTTCTGACTGATGCGGAGGTTAGTTTCACAGCACTCACTTAATCTCTTCCTGTCTGCTGTAATAGCAAATATGTTTGTAAAACATGGTGCTTGCACGTGATAATGTGAGAGCCCAACAGGTTGCAAGCAAAGGGATGGCAGCGGGAGGCTGTGAAAACAGCAGTGTGACTTTTCGGAGATGGGGAGCATCTCTTCAAGGCCCATCTCCCTGGAGGACATGGCCTGTCTCAGCCACACTGTTAGTAGCAAGGAGGGTGAGGAGCTGATTCCGTGCAGAGAGATAGCAAAACCAAGTCTAATTTACTCTTGGTGTCCAATTTTATGTTTTTAGGCAGGATTATTATTTTTCAGACTCACATCGATTAAGTTATACAATACAGGTCCTTTTTAAAGCTGAATGCGATCATTTTAAAGCTGAATTGCTCCCAGAGGGGACAGTTTGTCCCACAAAAGGGGGATAAACCTGCCAGACCCAAAGCCAGCCACTAACACTGGGACCTCTGTTACTCTGGGCTGGTGAGCCAGCATGGGGCTCAAAACAACTTGGGAGCACTTGGAACCCAAAACTCAGCACTTGGGGAACTGAATGGATTATAGGAGAGTCTTGGTTTCCTTTGTCAGTTCCAGCTCAAGGGTTTCTAGCCCTGCAGCGTGTAGGAAAAAGGCTTGAAAAATCTAACCCGAGAAATCTCTGAAAGGCCTTATTTCCCAGAAAGCCAAGATAAAAGATGGACCATTTACAACAGTTAGTAATAACCTCATTATTTTAAAGCCTGCCTTGTGATTTCTCCTGGGGACTGCACTGTTGAGAAAGGTCCTGGCTGCTTCGCTGCAGCTGAGCTTCTGCTTTACCCCAAAATCTCATTTTGGCAGTCATCCCTTGGCAAATACACAGCCAAAAAGTTTGCTCGATAATTTGTTGTAGGCATAGCATTATAGGCCTAAACATGCCTCTTGGAAAGATGCAGAGTGTGAAGGGATAGGATACCCAAGAGAGCCTGAACAGCTCCCCTGGGAAAAAGTGCTGATGGGACTCTCTGGCAGGGGCACTCAGCTCATAGCATCAAAGGCTGTGTTAAGTAAGGGTTAGAGGGGTGGTGGAGTTAGCAGGATATGGTCACAGAAAATCCTTTCAGAGGGCTCTTGGAGAAACTCTCTTACAGAATTTCCCTTTGGAAACTGGGAAAAGAGCTGGCCAAGTGCTCAGTTGTTCACAGCTCTTATATGAAAAAACTGATGGTCATGATTGAAAAACATGAAGTTGTGAATATACCACCTGAAAACTCACTGTACAGCTGAAAAGTAATAAAAAGGACCATATAAAAAAATCTGAAAACCCCAAAACCAAACCCTCTTGCCAGAACAAAGGCTTGAGTTTCAAAGACTTGTTGTCACTGTCTGCAGCCCAGAGCCCTTACTCACTCTTGGTAAAATTCTTCTTGAGTTAGTCATCCCCAGTCACTCCTCTGTACCCAAGCCCAGGAATTTGGGTTAGGCTCAATGCAAAGGAGAAAAGAAATCCTCCCTCCCTGGAGGGAAAGAAGTGGGAGTGTCCTACCTCAGGGTCACAGCCCTGTTGATAGGGCAGTGTCCAACACTTCTCTTGGAAGCATATTTCCAGCCATGGGGCTGGAGAGGCGCTCCTAAGGACCTGCGGTCAAATCCTGCCCCGTGCTGTCCATCAAGCCCATCAGCCCTCTTCTAGTGCCTGGGGTCAAGGCCAGACCTTCAGCGTGGGGCAGCGCTGAGGACCATCCAACCTGGGTGGAGCACAGCTCATCCTGCCCAGCTCCATTCTTTGGTGGCTTCCCCAAAGACCCAAGATCCTTCAGCCTCCTACCTGGAAGGAGGAATCAACTGTCCTGGATTTTTTCCTTCTGCACAAGGGATGGGCACAAACCCAAATGCTGGCAGTGGGGGCGGAGCCTTGGCTCACTGGGTGGGACTCCCTCCTCTGGACTCTGCTGTGACCCAGACTCTTTCTTGTCCCCAAAATGAAAGTGTGCACCAAGCAGAGGATCCGGTTTTGGGCCCTGTGTGTGCACGAATAGTCTCGTGGTCCCACCGGGTGGGAAAGCCTGCAGGAGCAGCCGTTGGAGGAGGATGGCCCTGCTGGCTCAGGCTTGGGCTCTGCCCTGCCCAGAGCTGTGCTGGGGCTCGTGCTGCTCAGCCAAGGGGCTGCAGAAGTGGCTGCCAACTGCAAGCTTCCCTCTCTCTCAGTGTGACTTCTTTTTATACTCAGCAAATAAATTTTTAAATTTGCATATGACTGAATGTTTCTTATCAAACCAGGTAAGTGGGCTGGCTTTTTGCTCCCAGTTGTACAAATACTTCATTATATATCGTATCAGCTACAGAAAGTCAGAGAAATTATAATAGCATTATTGACCTTAGGTTTAACTGATTTCTGAAAATTAAGCTCAATCAGTACAACAGGAGGAAGGAAATACTGACAGAGCATCCTGTTTACCAGCGGATTTGTTCTGAATTATCCTTTCCTCCCCACCTGCTCTGCACAGATGTGAAGAAATGAGAAACAAACCCAGGCAGGTACCTCTCTAAACAGTACTGACTTGTGCTTTTATGCACTAAACTGAACAAATTGGATCGATTAAATATTCTTTCCCACAGAATATGTACTATTTTTGTAAGGAATTAAAAAAGATGGCTAATGTATCTAATAATAAAAAGGGAATAAAGAGGAGCTGTACTATATAAATGGAAAGGAAATAAATATGGAGGAGACTGCAGTATGATTCTGCAGATGGTGTGATAAATCTGTTTACAAACACAGATATGAGTGATATATGAATGCAACATCTTTCCATATTTTCTATGAAGCACAGTGTTTCAAAGCCACTCAGAAACATCCTTAAGGGGCTGGTAGTTTCACCCTTTATCTCTGACCACAGGAGCTTATTAGCAGGTAAATGATCTCAGCAGAGTGAGACAGATAAGGGATTAGAATGGAACATATCTATCTGGCTGTCTCACAGAGGCTATTTAGACTGTGCTGGCTGAGGGAAGGAAAATGCCCTGGCAAAAAAAGGCAAGGCACTATACTTAAAAGGCTGAATACATCTCACCTCTCACCTCCTGCCAGTAGAAGGGCATGCGTACTTTGCTTTTTGCTGCCTGGGCCACTGAGGATGGTAGAAGCACGCGATGGTAGAAGCAACGTCCCCAGCCTCTGTGTCTGACCGTGCCTGCAGCACCCTCCCCAGCTATAGGCTCAGCATCAGTGCTGGGTTCTGCTCCCTAGGGCACATTCTGATGGCCCATGTGTGCTTGCTGCCATGGGGACACCCACAGCATTCACCGTGATAAATGCAACCCTCTCATCTTGCTTCTCACCCTCAGAGGTTAGTTAGGCCTTATGGGGAATGACAACTAAAGAAACTTCAATGCAAATAGACTCTTAACTTGAAGAGATTCCTTTTGGAAACATAAAGGCATCACAAAGGCTTGTCTTTTTGCACCCAGCCACAGCAACACCGTGGTTCATGGTGCTAACTTTTTGGATCACTGGGTTTGCAAAGCTGTGATGTTCCTTGCATCCACACAACTCAGCTCATGAAATTGCCTCCTTTACTTTTGAATTGGGTGTTTCCCAGATTCAGTTTTCTGTGCCCCTCTGTCCTTCAAGTCAGCTCCTAGGGAGATGACATCTGTGGGAGATAAATCAGGGCATGTCAATACTTTCTCCATCGTGCAAAGCTGTGGAGAACAGAGCTGCACAGCACAGCTTTCAGTCGAAATTACTGTATGCCACCAGGATGACATGGATCACAGCAAGGACCTGGGAGGACATGTAAAAACAGATTTATCAGGGCAGCTAAGTATAATTGCGTGAAAACAAAAGGGAGAAAAATTACAGGTCAAAACCATTCCGATTTTCTGGGAGCAGACCTCCTGCCCATGCTGCAGGATGGGGGGTGTGAGGGAGAACAGCAGCTCCTTGCTGCCCTTTGAAGAAGTCTGAGAGCATCCCATCCCCATGTGCTGCCCTTGCAGCCCTCTGCTTCCCTCCACAAGGCTGCTGGAGCACACCACCAGCCCTAAGAAAAGCTCTTTTTTTGCTGCTCAGCCCCTCCTCCCTTCTGTGCCTGTTCCTGGTGCTCAGGAGCCTGTTCTGCATGGCTGACTGCTAATGATAGGTTTTGCTTCTGGATAGTTCCAGTTTTCACTCTGCCGCTGGGAATATGTAGAGCCTTTGTATTTTGAAACATGTCAGACTACTCAGTCACTAAAAAGGAACAACATCCTGGCTTTCTGCTTTCTAAAACCACTTCAAGAAGCATGATGGGTTTGTTCTTCCTCTCCTCTTGCTTTCATTTATACTACTGTGCTTGCCTGTGCAGCATCTGAACAGCTTGTGTATGTACAGGCTAATGAAATCGCCCTCCCATGCACCAAAAGAAGTGGGGGAGGCCCCATAAATCTCTCTTTTAGAAACCAACCTGACCCTTTGGTGTGGGTCCATTAGCATCAGTAGG